TAATTGCTGAACCCCTGACCGATTTTTTTAAAATAAGAAAACCAAGTTTCATTGGTCTGAAAAATGTCTTGAGGACAAGTTAAAGACAATACTTAAGAGCACATCAGATTGTTCAGCTCCAATTTTCAATCAATTTTTTAAAATGTGTTTTGTTGCAAGTGATGTTGGGGTTTGTGAAGTATTGATTCAGAAAGGCAAAAATGGTGTAAATCATGGTGTATGCTATTTTTAGAAACTATTAAACAAGCATCAGAGAAAGTGTTCCGCAATCGAGAATAAATGTATGGCTTTTATTTTGGCTTTGCAACACTTTGAAATGTATATTAGTTCAGCTAATAATTAGTTCATCTCCGACTATTGTATTCAGTGATTACAATTTTCTAACTTTCACTGGCAAGATGAAAAACAAAAATCAGAATTTGATGTTGCAGGAATTCAACAGTGTCATCAGGTGCATCAAGGGAAACTATAATTAAACTGAATATGCACTTTCACATCTTAAGAAGTATTGTATTGCTTCATGTATATTTTGTGTTATTCACAGAACTTCATTTTATAGAATTGTCAATCAATGTATATCTAACGGTTAAAACAAAGTTTTTTGAATGGTTCTTTCTTTATTTTTTAAAGTTTCTGTTACATACACTTGCATCGAGCATGTGGCCTTGTCCAAAGTCAAGTTGACTGTGTTCTTGACCAGGAGCATTTATTTTGTAAACAACTTCATAAATAACTAATGTTTCTATGTGAGTGTAGATTAAATATTATCAATAGAAGTAAACATATCTATCTAGGACGCTGGTATTCCTCCATGAAAAAAACCTGGTGCACCTGATGTTGGCATGTTCTTTATTTTAATATTAGTAATATACCATATCTTGTTGACAACGTAGAATGTTCTAAAAATGAACTTTACACCCTCACCCTGGTTCTAATTTTCACCCTCATCCTGGTTCAAGTTTTGTTTTTCTAGCACTTTATATAATGTCGTTTGTATCAAACGTGCCTTGACATTCTGAAACAGACTCGTTCTTATTGTTGTGTTCATTTTTGGGGGGAGTTGCAATTATTTATTAAAATCGTTATTCTCTGGAAATACAGAGTGCTCGTCAGTAATATTCTTGAACAATAACATTAATTTGGATTTATAGTGGATACAGACAGGAATATGGTTGGATTATATTATTGTGATACAACAAAAGACTGTCTGTATATCATCACAATTCAGGCCATTTGCCCTCTTCCACATTAGAAACTATAGGCACACGAACACATTCAAAATTGGAATTATCTGGAATACCACTGGAAATCAGTTGGAACTTTATACATTTGGACTTGTCATAAAACGTTTGGGATTATTTTAGATTGAATCCACAATGCTATAAATTTAGTAATTTGTTGTTTTTTTTTTAGTTTGTTATTTAAGTTTCTGAATATATTCATGAGAAATAAATTATTTGCTGCATTTTACAAAAAGTGTTAGCTTTCGTTTTTTCTTTTATTTAGCGTATGAGCATAGAGTCGTGACATAATACTGATATTTTTATTATTTTTGTATCGTTACTTTATGTACTTAAATGTTTATTCATTGAACCTATTTTGTTTTATTCTCACATTTTCTTGTATTGTTTTCTTTAATAATGTTTCCTAAAATGTCCACGACAGTTCTGCAAAACTTAGATATGTTTTGTTATTTTTGTTGGTGTTGTTGTTTTGAAACGTATCATTTTATCCATTGATTTTAATTTTCAAATATAAATTTTAAAGTTATTTTCGCTATTAAATGTCACGTTAAAATATTAATTGCACGTAACATTTTCCGATGCAGATTTATGTTAACTTTAGATTTCTAAATTCATTGAAAAATTAATTTAAAACATGAAAAAACTGACTGAACAGGCCTAAGAGATGTCAGGGGCGCCGGCAGGATTATTACTGTCGTTTTTGGGTGGGGGTGGAACAAACATGTAGTGGACATCTATTAAGTTTTACAATGTAGGCCTAAATATATAGAGAGGTGCGGGCGCACAGGGGACAGACACTTCGTAATAAACACAAAAGACCCAAGTACAGATGGACTCGTAGCCAACTTGCCTCCAGGGACTGTACCTATGTAAGTCCATAATTGATAATCACTTTAGTTTCGGGTTACAAAAACTTGAGATTAACTATCATGGTAGAAGAAATACAAATTAGCTTACAATATTTTGAACTGCTTGGAGGCAGTGCGGTAACAGTACTTACGGTATATGTGTATTTACATCTGGATTAAATTTAGTGAGAATAGTTACTCTGCATTTTGCTGGTGTTGGTACAACACTTGTCTGTATTGTCGCAGGGTTTTCGTTGTCAACCCGGGTTCCATTTACACGTCACTGAATATCATTATAACATTTGAAGGTGGAAATAAATGAGACGTTGACTGTATACATTTATTAATTCCCCTTAATAATAAAGTGATGACATAAATAACTTTGAGAGGACACAATTAAAATGAAATATTGTAACAGGAACCAGAGAAAAATATCACATTTTGACAAACAATCATTACTGATTTGAATCTCAACAATGACCTTATTGCATGTTTACGTGATCTTTCTAAAGTAGACGAGGCAGCTGAATGATGGCTTATATAAACATTTGTTAGTATGCAAATATGTAAGACTCTGGAGAACAATCTTAAAAATATCAAAATTTGGAGGGTGAGCGTTGATAATGGAGTGGTGGCTGTTGAACAGAGTGATACCAGAATGGTACGCAGTTTATTTTGGGAGCAATTCATACAACAAAGAAATCGATATAGTTTCCAAAAGGAGCAGGAGAGCCAGATGCCGATGTCCGTGCATCATTCCTGCATATGTTGAAATAACTAAATTGGCTCACTGACTCACTGTTCAACATAGAATCAAACACCAAAAACGTATTTATGCGTTAAAACTATTCATAACTTGTTCGTCGAGTACCTGAAAGAAAACATATTGTGATTTCTTACTCCACTTCATCGGTATTGTATTAATTACTGTTGTAAAAAGTAGTGAATTAAAATTACTGTTTAAAAAAAAATGTAGTAGTTGATAACAATTACAAGTACTCTGACACAATGAAGCAATCATTTACAATTGCTTTGTTTAGCCTGGTAATTAGAATATATTTATATTACTTTCTGATCTGTCTATCACAACGTGTGGTTATCGATGGTTAATTCGAGTTTTGTACAGAACAATGTTCTTCGCACTAGAAAATCAATGTAAGATATGGAACACAATATTGTAGAATTAATTTACATAATTTGTTAATATTTACATTGCTTATCTACCATATTCAAATCGTGCTGATATGTTTAAAATTGCTGTTTGTAACTATGGTAAATATTAATTCTAATTTAAAAGTAATCAGAACTTTGCATTACTTTTCCAGCATTTGTAATCAGTTATAATTTACTAATGACCTTTCTTTGTAGGAACTAATTACAATTACAATTATAATTTTATATTTCAAGTATTTAATCATTTAATTCTTAATAATTCATTAATAGACAACATTGCAATTAATATAATTTAAATTAATATAATTTAAGATACTGGTAATCTTTTTCTCCAAAGAGCGAAATCTGATCTTTTCAAGAAAATCCTTCATTTTCAGGAGTGGCACTGCAGAATTCTATACTCTACAGATGAAATCAGTTTGGAAAGGTGCATAAAGGTAGCCACAAACTATTCTAAGAACAGCGATGTTTATCAAGACGTAAAACTGTGAGAAATGCCACACACCTGTTACTTCGACTTCAAGGTCACCTCCGTAAATCTCGAAAAAGGCGCGAATGTAGCTGCCATTCGGAACACCTCTGCTATTTTAAAAAAATGACTGATCAAATAGCTTATTATTTTTAATTGGTAACTTATTTGCTATTCGTACAGTCAATCCTACCACTGAATTAGCAGATGTAGCCAAAATATAATGCAGTCGTTTTATTTTTTTGTAAGAAATTTCCGGCAAAAAAAAATGCAAAAGTTTAAAATAAATTACTATGCCAATAACAAAGTTGGACTACATGATATGAAAGGAAAAATTGTACCTTAGAAATATTTGAAAGAAGAATCGCGTGTGGCAACATATTTTGTTTGGTGTTTTATGGTGAAACTACACAAGTATCTTACTTAGCGCCGAGACTATATGAGTAAGTACATTGTCCAAAGAAACATCTCGCATGCTGATCGGGCAGGTCCGATGGTCGCGAGTCTTGCACGCATTAGAAAAATCTTGTATGGAACCATCATTATTACATATACAAAACATTCAACTATATGCATTGTACAAATAAAACGCCACAAGCAAATACTGTTGTCAACACTTTTATGAAACCATCGTCGGTGTGTGTGTGTCTGTGTTTATATATATATATATATATATATATATATATATATATATATATATATATATATATATATATATATATATATATATATATATATATTGAGAGAGAGAATATTTACGTATATTTTACAAAATGCTATGATGTTAAGAATATCGAAGAATAATCACTATTTAATCGAATGCTGATGTGTTTTAGCCACCAACAAATCAGATGTCTAGATTTAAGAGTCTTTGAAATCCCTTAGCATGCATCCTCGTGCTTTAATGAGGTTTGGCAAGGGCATAACTCTTGTCGAGTTACAGAGTTACAGGTCATAAGCTCTGGCTGAATGTGTATCATTACGACTCCATGTTGTTAAAGCAAGTAACAGAAAAGAGATTTAGATAGATTTTAGATCTTTAACGTAGTTTCAATGATTTCTCAGTCAATTAGCTATGATGTCTGCAGTGTAGCAGTTTATAGTGATGTCGAGCACTGGAGCGTCATGCCACAAACAGGTGGCACGATGTCCCACCCAGTCACATTATGCTGACACCAGGCCAAATAGTCCTAACACTAATCTCTTAATGTTGAGCTCCAAGCGATGCAGCTGTTAACGTTAGTACAATTTTGTAAGTCTTTGGTATGACTCAGCCGGGGATCGAATCCACGTTCTCCCGCTTCCGAGGCGGACGCTCTAACCACTAGGCCATCGATGCGATATACCACAACAGAAAAGAGTGAAAACCAAATGGTTTTGTAAACTTCAACAATTAGTTTATTTCCCTAGAATACAAAGTGAAAATGTAAAAACAACGTACGGTATTGCGAACTAAATACCAAATTATCTTAGAATTTCGTCCACAAGTCCAAATAATTAAAGTTCTAAACAAACTTCAGTAGTATTCTAAAATAATTCCAACGCTGGAAGTGTTGATGTGCCTGTATTGGCCTCTGTAATAGTGATGTGTCAATAGTCTTTTGTTGAATTACAATAATACAATCCAAGAATATAACCTGATTTGAAATTTCACTATAAATCCAAGTCTCTATTTCCAAGAATGTTATTTTTGTTCACTTTCCATTTCCAGAAAAGAATCACTTGAATTAAATATTTTGAATAAATAAACTCCAACCCAATTGAAATATTCGACACAACAATAATGCAAATGATTCTGCTCAGACTTTACAGCACAGATAAATAACTTTCCCAGTAAAAAGATTATACAGTCTTCTACCTCACCTCAAGTCATAATGAGAATTTTATAATAAAAAATATTACCTAATGGAAGATTTTAATCCCCAAGGTTCCACAAAATAAAATCAGTCATAATTATAAGGTATGTTACTAAAATCATAACAAAATGCACGGAAAACGCAATGTTCTTACTCAGACCAAGATAAATATGTTTATTTCTATTAATAATAAACATAACTTTAAACCAATACACGTAAAGAAAACATTAGCTATGTATCAGTTGTTTACATAATTTAAAAAATCAATGAATCAGGTCATGTAGAAAATGAACTTGATTTTGGACAATGTCATGTCCAGAATACAATTATCCATAGCAAATAAAAAAAAAAATAAAAACAATGGAAATTAAACATACATGACAGTACGTAGATAACTGAACCGTGTCTATTCTAAAAGTTTAAGTTATCCAAGGGAGTTTTCCTATCCCAAGATTTTATTTCAGTTGAACGGAGCAAAACATGCTTTTATATACATTTAGCAAGTAATAATTACATTTTGAGCTTCAGGACCCTCCGTCATAAACGTTTAATCAATCCAACATATTCACCCTGTTCCTACCAGTTGCATTTCTCAATTTAGATTAATATTACTATGTCTGTAGTAACATTTATTTCTCGAAATGCTGAATAATGTGTGTGTGTGTGTGTGTGTGTGTGTGTGTGTGTGTGATATTTGGATTTTTAACGTAGCTTTAACAATTTTCTAGTCATATCGCTACAATGTCTGCAGTGTGGCAGTTTATAGTAATGTCTAGCACTGGGGCATCATGTCACAGACATGCGGCATGATTTCCCACCCAGACACATTATCCTGACACCAGGTCGACCAGTCCTAACACTAACCTCTTGATTCTGACCATTTTGTAAGTCTTTGGTAAAACTCCGCCAGGGATCGAATCCACGACCTCCCGCATCCGAGGCGGACGCTCTAATCACTAGCCCACCGGAGCTGTCTGAAATGCCGAATAAAGCTAAGCCCCATATTGAGGAAACATCTTAGATTCAGTACACATTCAAAATCTTTTTTAACCCAAAAAATCTAACAATATACACAACGGATTTGACCGTTGATGCTGAATTTGTTCTAGCATGTTGCTCGAAAAATGTCATTTTGAGTACATTAAGATAATCTAAACCCCACCACCATCAACCCCACAAAAATAAAACAAAAAATATAAATAAAAATAAAGCAACAACAAACAATCAATAGTATAAGTTGAACGTGCAATCTAATTTATGAGTTTTGTAATTTTGAGACCTGGTCTTTTACAGAATATACATGACCTAGAATAGACATGAAGTACGCGCAACAATGTGACTGGACTCTTAAGTAAAACAGCACTAAGTATAATGACTCCGCTATCCACTTTTCAATATTGGAATTCACAACACTTTGATTTATTATTAATTTTCTTACTTGTCGGATTTTTGCTGTCCTTGAAGCTCTTGCCGACTCGAGTCCACATGTCTTTGTGAATACTGCTCATTAGCGGCATATATCTGTATATAGCCACCCAAATGTTTAGCAAGTTTATTGTTCAAGTTTTAGTCGATTTAAATTGATTTGTTTATTGCACTACGTTTTCATGTTTTATGCTAAGATTTTAAACTAAAATCACCAGGGTTTCTTAAAGAAAGTTATGTCATTGTTGTAGTAATTATATTTTTAATATGTACATGTAATAACATTCGTCTGAGCTTGAGCTACATAATATGTACACGTTACAGCTATACCCTGAATATGTATTACTTTCTTTTCCGTCTTGATCTTTAATGCTTATATTCGGGTTGATTATGATACCACTTTTTTTGGTACTCCATGAAGTAGTGGATTTTTCACTATATATATTTGCTAATTCACTGTAACGAATTATACTTTTATGTACTCCAGGTACAAGTACTTTGCCTCAAGAAACGGTCATTTGAAAATGATTTAACTTTTTTCTCCCTAATGTCATCTCTGCTGCAAAATACATTTGTGGAATATATTTCTTTCTCAAGATGCTCGTAAGTGGAGTTTGTTAAACTTTCCATTCATGTTGCATAAAAATTGAACTTGATAACGTCCAAACAACCATCAGAAACTGATTTGCGCAGCAAAGCTTCGTCATTTATGTTGCATACTTTTTGGCAAGATTCACACGATTGCAGTCTTCTCTAAAATTCTTTCTCCATTGCCTCCTGTATTTTTTTTTAAATTTAAAAAATCTTCAATAGTTTGGTTTTATGTGTTACCAACTTTCTTCTTGACTGCTTTCTTTGTCTTCTTTTGACGGTTGTAAACGGCAACTACCATATTAAATTCCTCCTTGATATTTCATCATCGTTTATTACTTTACATCATCATACTTTTTACCTTACTTATATTAGATGTCACAATCACATCGTGCTTTATATCTTTACTGTATACTACTAGCTTATCTTTGAAAACTTTTGCAACAAACCAAAGTACCTTTGCGTCAAACCTGATAAAAGCTATTCTTGCATCTCCTGAAATGCCAACAGCAACATCCATACCACCTGAGGCAGTTGCCATGCCAAACTCTACTAAACATAAGAAATATGATTTAAAAATAAAGCACCAACAACAAAAAAAAACAAACTTCCATCGGGTTTTGTTAATGAAAATTCTGAATATCGACCCCACTGATTACTATTACAACTGGCCGAATTCAACCCTCATTGAGTACTAGACAAAACAGATTTTATGATACTTCGGAAGTAATCCAATTTATTGATAGTGGTCATTCAGATCAGATTGTACCCCTTTGATGATCTGGGTGGCAACTCGTGTGCAGGTAAAAAATTTTGAGTCGTTACCCTTCACGATCATTTTGCCATTCACCCATGGCCAGCATCTTAATCACCCCACCCATAAAAAAGAGAAAGAAATATTACTTCAGTTAGCAGTGGGTCGCAATATATAGATAGCATTGCCTTAGAATCATTGCGCGTATATGCTAAACACTTTATGTCACGCCTAACGATTCACTTAAAAGAGATGTATACTTTAGTGGTAATGACATTTCAGACAATGGCATAAAAACCTAAATCGGTAAACGTAGGATTTGTTTCTTTTATTTATAAAAAGAATCTGATTTATATGTTAGGATAAATTCTTTTAAATAAGTTAGGATAAATTCTTTTAAATATGTTTAGGTACAAAATATTGTCTTCTAAAACTATTGTGATATAAATATAAAATTATATAAATCATGTAACCATGGTAGCTGTTTTTCTTTTATACCGTGTGGGTTGAAATTGCATAAGCCTATCTAAACGGGGCCCCAATGACCATATGCGGGAGGCTCATCCCTACAAGTCACTCAAACATGGGACAATGATGGTCAATGGAATCAGCAATGCCCCTTATATATATGTACTGAGATTTTCAAGACAGAGGAGAACATTTCGAGAGGTAAGAAAGAGATTACATTCAATTAATTAATTACATCAGATTTTGTTCTATAAGAAATATTTCAAATACTTGTGTAATACTTATTTAGATTTTAAATAAACTGGGGAAAGATTAAAGGGTAGTATGGTTTAGAAAATATAGGATTTACTTAAATGAAGAACAAATGGGGTATGATTATAGCATTATGTGTGTACAGAGAGAGAGAGAGAGAGAGAGAGAGAGAGAGAGAGAGAGAGAGAGAGAGAGAGAGAGAGAGAGAGAGAGAGAGAGAAGTCTCACCACAACCACCCAAAAAAAAAAAACCAAATCTGAAGCACATGTATAACAAAATATCGATTTAGGCTTTAAAACTTTCATTTCAATAGCATTCTTCGGGTGACAAAAACAACACAAGGAATAGAAGCGAACTACGACTTATTGTAAATTACATTACCCTAGAAAAGTATCTATGTAAACCCGACGATTCACACAGAAAAAAAACAAAAAAAAAAAAAACAGGTCTAACCCTATTAATGCAAGGCAGTTTTACACTTGAAATTTCTGCCGTCATATCAGACGTCTCCAATCACTTAAAGGACATAACGACTTCAGGACTTCATAACAGTTAGTTGGCACTTTATTATTATTATTATTGGTGGTGGTAATTTTAACGTCAACTATACGTATACACTCAAAAGATGTGTTATAGAGAAAAAAAAAACAAACAAACAAAAGAACACACGATGGGGCAATGATTTGTTTTCGCAAAAACTTAAAAGGTGTTAACTCTCACGTACGCCTGCATACGGTAATAGGTTTTCACCATTGATAAAATATATATAGAACAGTTTATTTACATTCTGGATTTATGCGGACATTGGCTTATTTGGTTGTTTGTATGTAGCAGTGTATTTACAATTTATTTGTGTATCATCGGCATCCATATTAGTGTGTGATTTGTGGGCTCAATGTCATTTTTCAACTCATGATATGGTGAAGAAAGAACCAGTGAAATCCCCAGAAGAAACACCATAACCATACCGGCCGATCCCGAAATTGGAACTCACAGAACAGACGTAAGATGGTTAAGGCGTGCACATTATACACACAGCCACCCACCCCCGGTAGTATGCCAAGGTTAATATTGCGCCTGTAAGCTGAAAGAAATTCATTTGAATCACACGAAAATACCAAAACATACATATATAAAATAAACAAGGTGCATACATACATTACGCAACCTATATACCTAAATTATAAGTACATATATACATTACACAATGTACATTCCTAAATTACAAAACGTACTACATTACACAATGTATTTACCTAAATTACAAAATGTACATACATACATTATGCAACGTATATACCTAAATTTTAAAACATACATACATATATTACACAATTTACATATATAAATTACAAAAGGTAAATACGTTAAATACGTACATTACACAATGTAATACCTAAATTATAAAACAGACATACATACATTACACAATGTATATACCTAAATCACAAAATGTACATACATACATTATGCAATGTATATACATAAATTATAAAACCTACATCCATATATTACACAATTTACATATCTAAGTTACAAAATGTGCATATGTACATTACACAATGTACATACCTAAATTACAAAATGTACATACATTACGCAACACATATACAAAAGTTATAAAGTGTACATACATACATTACACAATGTACATACTTAAATTACAAAATACCTTATATGGGATAAAGGGCTAAGTTACCCACCATCCTGGTAAAATGGGCAGAACATTATCTGCTAGTGACCCAAGTAAAAAGCGTGTATACCCTCCCCCAGCATAAGTGCTGGCATTGGGGAATGGAAAGTAAAGCATGTTTCTAGGTTTCGCAAATTTTACTTTCAAATCCTACATGTTGATTTTGATTCATGGATGTACACCACTTCTAACTACCTTCTTTCCAGTCGACCATCCGGGTCTGTTTGCAAATTTCTTCTTTCACAAAGTACAGGCCATTAGAGATAAGCTTTACAACACAATTTCAATTGAGTCGTCGTCACCATACAGTTGTGATACTGAATTTCAGTGGCAACCGTAAGCAGCATTTGAACCCGTCTCTAAGGATTTAGTACATACAATTGTCATGAAAAGTGCACCAGTCATGTGAACTTGATCGATTCCGACATAACTGCCGATTGAGTGCTTAGATCTAATATTGCCTTCACTATCTGATGTTATTAATACTTTTCTCTCATCCGATGAATTTCCATCACTGTTCAAAACTGCCATTGACATAAAGTGATTAAAAAAGAACGAATACTGATAGTCTATAATTTTTTTATACACTTAGTTATTATTTTTTGGGAAGGAGAGGGGGGGTTTATATATGCAAAGAATACTAATAATTTTCACCTCGTATGAACAGAACAGAAAAGAAAAGATCAATTGTCATATGGAAATATAGAGATCCATGTCAGTTGTTCTATGATATATCAATATTATGGTTTCAATCTGTTAAATGAAATAATAAGACAGTATTAAAAAA